TAATTAGTTGCAATTTATATTAATGTCACTTAAAAAGCGACTTACATAAAGATTCTATAAATAGGTTCTTCTGGAGTTCTTCTTCCAAATGTAGAAGCTAAACTACTATCAGATGATGGGCGGGGTATGGTCAATATTATTAACCATTTATATTTTAACTAATTAATTAATTATTATTTAATATTCCAGAATTAGGATACAATGAACCAGGCGAATTATGTGTTCGTGGACCAAATATAGTGAAAGTAATGTCAAAAATAAATTTTTGATATCGTTCAATTTTAAAGTCTTAACATTTTTTGTAAACATTAAATTAGGGATATCTTAATAATAAAGAAGCAACAAATGCGGCAATTGATGGTGATGGGTTTTTCCATACTGGAGACATTGTTGTTTTTGACCGTCAAGGTGATTTTTTGAAATTTTTATATATGTATACTTTTGTTTATTTATTTTCATGATAAATTAAAAATTTTTTTTTTTTTGAAATCAGGGAATTGTTTTATTGTGGACCGTGTCAAAGAATTAATCAAATTCAAGGTTCTATAAAGTTTAAGGATCTCATGCAATATACGTGATACTATTATTTAATACAGGTGACATTCGTTAATACCAACTTCGTTAATATCAACCTAAACTTGTAAAAAATTGAATTCAAAAATCAACTCATACATCAACATAGTTGTTTAATCCAAATGGGTTGATTTCAACGAGGGTCACCTATAATCAGCGTTGTCATTTTACTATGTCCAGTGGCTGTAAACTACTGGACTGGACTATATTGGACTTATTAAATTATTATGTCCAGTAGTCCAGTGGCGCAGTACTGGAATATGTCCAGTAGTCCAATTGACAACCCTGCCTATAATACATATTTTTAATAGTATCATATATATAGTGCAAGTGATTAATGTAAATATATGCATGCTAGCAATATTGTAATATGCTAATTCTTTAAATAATTTTATAAGGGATTTCAAGTTGCTCCAGCTGAGCTCGAATCAACTTTACTCTCACATCCGGCAGTATTGGATGCAGCTGTGATACCATATTTTTCTGAAAAGGAATTAACTGAATATCCAACTGCTTGCGTTGTTCTTAAAGCTAAATACGAAAAAACTCTCAAGATGGCAAAAGAAATACAAAAATTTGTAGATGATAGTGTATCACCACACAAAAAATTAAGAGGTGGTGTGCTATTCATTGACTCCATACCAAAGAGCGAGTCAGGCAAAATTTTGAGAAGAATTTTAAAGGATAAATTAAAAAAGGGTGATATTATGTTTATTCAGCAAAGCTTTCTTTAGGGCGAATACCATTTAGTTTATATGAATATTGATGCTGTTCATCTGATTCGCTGATCAATCACTTAATATTTCTGTATTTAGTTATCCCCCCTAAATTTTTTTTATCAATACTATTTTATTATCTGGCTTAACGTTAAAGACATAATAAATCAAATGATTCGACATATTTACTATATTCGAAAAAGTCTAGTAAAAATAAACATTACAAGTTTTCACCGTTATTTAACGACTTCCAAAAGTCGTAAACCTTTACCACCAAAGAAGAATCGTTCAGATTCAAGAGATTGGTTTGAGAAATGGTTAGTAGGGTTTACCGATGGCGCTGGCTCATTTGTCGTAAAAAGCGTTGGTTCTCATTTGACTTTATCTTTTGAGATAACGCAAAGTGCTCGAAATTTAAGAATTCTTCATTATATACGCCGAGAAATTGGTTGTGGTAAAATTTATTCCCACGCTGATGAATCAACACTAAGAATAATAAATAATAAACATTTAAAAGGCTTAGTTCTTCCAATATTTAATCAATATCCTTTATTGACTTCCAAGTATTATGATTACGTGAAGTTTAAGAAAGCATTAGAGATGTTGAATGATTCTCCAGCGAATACATCCACCATCTTAGAAATTTTAAAAAATAGCACGAGTGATGCTGACACAATCTCCTCAGCCTGGAATTTGACCACTTATCCTTTTAAAAGTGCCGACGATGTCAAATTAGTGATGTCTAAACCTTGGCTTGTAGGGTTTGTTGAAGCTAAGGCTTCTTTCCTTTTGAACATGGAATCTTGTCCGGAAGGTGATCGATATAAACATGCTTTCCATGTACGTCAAAAGGGTAATAAAATTGTACTCGAGGGTGTTAGATCTATTCTTCATATAGCAACAAAAGTTCTTTATCATGAAAAAGAAAATATTTATGAGATAACTACAACAAATTCGAGAGCCATTGATAATATATCACATTTTTTTAATTATACTTTTAAAGGAATGAAATCATTGGAATTTAGAATTTGGGCCCGTTCTATTAATTATAAGGGTAATTTAAATAAATTAGCTAAATCTGCCCGCATTCTTGCCAAGATTCAAGCCAAATTTTCTTACAATAAACCTTTTTGAGAAAAGATATTAAGTGCTGTATCTAGGTTTAATATTTTCAGCAAATGTAAAAACTCGTAGATGAATTAAATCAAAAACAGAATTTAATAATATTTTTTGTATATTGATATAAGAAACGTGCTTTGTGAATTTAGTGAATTGACTCGACTATATCATGATCGATTATTGATCTAATTGAGTCAATAGTCGAGCATGATTTTGTAGACTCGGTCAATTATTGATCAATAATGTTTGATCGATCAAGAAAATTTTATAGAATATATATTTTTATTTTTAGATTTTTTTTTGTAGATAAGATATAATCGATCAATTATTGGCCTGATAATTGATCGATTATATATACTCGAGCTTATAAATTATATGCTTGATCGATCATACTCGATCAAGTTTATAATTGATTTTTGATCGATTAAGTAAAATTTTTTTTGGTCAATCATAACTCCACATAATATAAAAATGATTTAAGAATTATTATAAAAAATTTATTTTTTGAAATTATATAAAAATTTATTTTTTGAGATTAAATAATACTGCAAACATATTCAAGTAATATAATTTGTTTAAATTTTGAAAAAAAAAGAATTTAACACTTTATAAACTTCATTGCTAATGTCCGAATTGACTCGTTTTTTTTGCATCATCAAATTCATCATCTTTCTAATAACTTGAATTTAAGGTTCAAATAGTTAGTTCTATATGAACAGACAAAAGCTAAATTGTCAGTATCAATATTTACAATAATTATTAGCCCCTATCAAATTTATTTTTGCCTTTTTTGCTACGAATTGGAGGTTTTTTATAACTAGGCTTATTTTCTTTGACTTGTTCTTGTTTCTCCATCTGTGATTTCTAAAAAAAGAGCATTCAATTATTACTATAGATATTATCATCTTAGCTGATTTTTGGAATTATTAATAATAACATATAACTTTTGTAGTAAATATAGCTTTTGACTCACTGGTTTGCTTTGGATGATTCTATTAAGCCTTGATGGTAAAATCATTCAAAGCCGACCGGTGGATCAAAAGGTATTTACTGTAAAAGTTAATTTACACTGAATTCCAAAAATTAGCTGATGTGCTAAACATTAAAAAGTTACCTCAATAGCTTCTTTTATAAATTGATAAGTCTCAAATGTATGTGAAATCCGTAAAGACGGGGGGAATTTATTTTTAATGATGCGTTTGTCTACCCAGTCAGGCCAACATTCTAGGCTTTCATCTTCCACCAAATAGTACATCAAATCTTCTGTTTCGATAATGCT